ACGTGCCCAAAAATGTATTGAAGAACAAGGTGGTGTTTTCGAGCATCTTCTTTAAAAAAAATTATTATTGTATTTTGTAAGATTATAAGTTGATGTTGAAAATAAAGTTTGTCGATACAATTTAATTGTTTCAGATTGGAGGCCATAACTTCAACAATTTGTCACCTAGGAGAAAAGTTATTGTAAGCTTTTTTGTTTAAAATTTGATGCTTTAACAGAAAAAAATATAATATACAGGGGTTTCCATTTAAAAAAATGTTATTTTACTGAAAAAAATCAAAATAACGACTCTCAATTGTTTTTCTTTATTTCTCATTTTTACCAGCGTTAAAAATGCTACTAGTTTGCTAATTCAAACAACTTTGTATTTTCACTAATAACAAAGTTACTAATGGTGGACACTTAATTTGGATAACCCTGTATACAGGGTGTTTCAGTTTACTGTTGCATAACTTTAAGATTCGATAGAACTTTTAAAATTATTGCATAAAGTCTATATAAACATGGGTCGAAAAATGCGTGGCTTCCGAAATCAGGGTGTTTAAATTTACTTTCTAAAATAGTTTTTTTAAATATTTCGAACAATATTTGATGTATAATAGTGAAAATTGGTATACAAGGGTTTTTTGGTACGACAAAACGAACCATGGGCATAGTTTTACTGTAGCCGCTAGACGGCGCTCTCTACTGTACCTGTAGTGTATTAAAATGACCAAAACATTTTTTCTTAGTGCAATTTTTTGCTTTTTGAATAAGAAAACTGATTCTTCGCACTTTTCTGCATAAAAAAGCTTACCTGTGAGTTTTCGTTATAGTTAGCTGTTTTTGAGATATTTCGATTTTCAATGTTCGATGCATTTTTAATTATTTATGGGAAAATAATATTTTTTTACATTTTCGATTTAGGCATTACACGTAATTAAGATGATCGTTTAGATTGTATTTTTAAACACAGCAATAATTCCTAACTCCAAGTAAACCCAAAAAGACAGAATATTAATTTGTTTAATTTTCCAATATTATTTTTAACAAGTTAAATTAATTATTTACAACTAAAATCCTATTGGATTGTTAGGACAAACATACAAAATCTAAAGTAGTTGCTCGAAATGTAAGCCCAATTGTTCAATACACAATTCACATCTACGAATGATCGAACGTGGTACAGCATTATTCAAATAAGGCCTTATTTCATCACATGCATTCCTGATTCTGTCTATTAGCATATCTCTTGTGGTTACGGGAGTCTGGTACACTTTTTCTTTTAGAAATCCCCACACAAAGAAATCTAATGGATTTAGGCCAGGGGAGCGTGGAGGCCAGGCGACTGGTCCTCCACGGCCGATCCATCCTTCTGGATAATTTTCGTCCAGCCAGTTTCTGACTATTCTCGAATAATGAGCTGGACAACCATCAAGCTGGAACCAGGCCAATCTTCTTAAATCTAACATAACATCATCCCACATATTTGCATGTTCAGCCTTTAAAAATTCCAAGAAGGTCGCAGCATTTAACCTTTCAGGCAAAAGGTGGGGTCCAAATAGTCGATTACGGTAGATACCAATCCACACGTTCACACTAAATTCATGCTGAAAATTTCTTTCCCGAACTGCATGCGGATTTTCATGCGACCAAATATGTTGATTATGAAAATTTACCACTCCACGTCTAGTATGACTCATCGGTCCATAAAACGTTACTTAAAAACTCGCTGTTATTATCAGTTCTATCAAGAATTCACTGACAAAATGTGATTCTTCGTTCTCCGTCCCCTGGCTGTAGTCCTTGCACAGGTTGCAAATGGTAAGGACGTCTATGGTCATTTCTAAGAACATGGTGAACATGGCTTGCTGAAATTCCCAAGCCACCAGAAACTCTCCTAACACTTGTGGTCGGATCTCTTATCAAACTCACGCAGAATCATACGGGTAAATCTGCGCTGACGAACATTTATGTTTTGACCCCTTTGGAGATTTCCAAAACCATTTTCAATTATTTGGCGATGCACTCTTACAAATACTGAGCGAGTTGGATGCCGTCTGTTTGGAAATCTTCGTGCGTATTCTCTGGCTGCTTCTGCTGCGTTTCCATTTACAAAGCCATACTCAAAATGAATATCCGCTAACTCTTGATTGGAGAATAAACATGGCATTTTTATAAAACTTACAAAAAAAAAACAGGTAAAAGAAACTAAATTTCGTGCATTCACAATTACAAAAAAACGTTTCAACAGACAACAAAACTAACTGTCAACTAATTGACGTTTAACCTTATTCTGCTTTCAATTTCAAAAATATTTGCAGGCACAGACTTTTCAACGTTATTTTATCATAAATAATTAAAAATGCATCGAACCTTAAAAATCGAAATATCTCAAAACGGCTAACTATAACGAAAATTCACAAGAGAGCTTTTTTATGTTGAAAAGTGCGAAGAATTAGTTTTTTTATTCAAATAGCAAAAAATTGCACTAAGAAAAAAATTTTGGTCATTTTAATACATTACATGTACAGTAGAGAGCGCCCTCTAGCAGCTACAGTAAAACTATGCCCATGGTTCGTTTTGTCGTACCAAAAAACCCTTGTATACCAATTTTCACTGTTATACATCAAACTGTAACGGTTTCACCGTCCGATTGTATTTATTAAATCACTTCTCGATTATCATTTCAGAATCGCAAGTCATTAATCCCATCTCTAGCTTTTTTACTTGGAAACATTTCCGCTTGGAGCGCGCTTGATGCGGAGTTCCTGATCTGTGATCTTCCTCGCGCTTCCTTTTCACTTGAGCCGCCGATCTAACAAGAGCTAAGAATTTTGTTCTCTGTAGCATGAGGTCATATAGCGCCATGTGCTAGCGGTTTGTAGAATGTGTGTCTAAATAGGACAAACTGGTGAGTTTTATAATACTATACAGTTTTATTGCTGGATCTGCCTGTAGTTTATAGATAATCGATATGTAAGTGGTTTATTTCTTGTACGATTTTAAAATATCCATCGAACGTCATTTTCGACTACTTCGATCATTCGCCATAACTTTAATCAAATCGAGGTAGAAATCGATCCGCATCGATTTTACCTCTGTGTGCGTATATATATATATTCATAGTTCAGTGAAATTATGCGTACGTTGATTATGAATATTCGATATTTGTGTTTTTATATCAGAAGCATGTGGAGAAATTTTTGATGACCACCATCTTGTTTTTCGCTTTTTTTTGCTATTTCATGATTTTATTTTATGAAAGGCATTTCCAATTTTCGGTTTGATTTTATCAAACTATGTAATGTAATTCTAACCTAGAAAATCGTTGGTTCTCTTTTGAGGCAGATTGAGATTGGAAATGCTTTGGCCATTAGGGCACGTTGCTAATGCACACGGTTCTTTTTCAGATTGGGGCCACCCCCTTTCCCTTTTCCTTTGCCTTTGTCTTTGACTTTTGCGTTTGACTTTGACTTTGCATTGCTTGGCCTATCACGTCACCCACGCATGTGCCTTGGCAGCGCCATCACCTTTAAGTTCAACTTCGCCTACATCTAGTTTTGAAGCCACTAAATGTGAGGTCACCCCTCATAACTGGGACCTCCACTTCAAGCACCTGGCCATCCTCGCTTCAGTCCAGTCAAAATGGACCAGCTTAGCGAAAGATAAGTATATAGTTTTATAGCAGCGCCAAAGATTTAAAACTTATTTTGTTCTTTAAAATTTCAATCTCAAATGTAATGAAAATGCTTTTTTGTTAAATAAAATCTGTTAAATTTTTGTGTTCTGTTTGTTCTTCTATCCTCTAGCCATGCCATGGTCGACACACAGCTACACGCCTGTAGATGTCTTCATGCCACCGACTGAGCTACCGGAAGCTAAGAGGTAACCCCCTTTCTGTGATTGTGCAGAAAAGTTGGGATCTTCATTGTTTTCTGGACTTTTTGTGGGAAGGAAGGCTTACAAAACATTGTTCCAAATATTTAAAAAAAAATATTTTAGAAAGCAAATTTAAACACCCTGTATTTCGGAAGCCACGCATTTTTCGACCCATGTTTATATAGACTTTATGCATTAATTTTAAAAGTTCTATCGAATCTTAAAATAATGCAACAATAAACTGAAACACCCTGTATATCATCAACCTGGCCTGGAGTACTGATACTGGATCCTGCTTCCTATTTGCAGACGATAACGCCTTGGTGTGTAGACCTAACCAAGATACGAATCTGGATAGTATTGAACAAGGCAAAAGATTTGTTTAATCAAAAAGTTACCGCTAAATGAAAACAAGAGATATCCATTTTCCTCTGATAGGTGGGTTGTGAGATCTGAACTAGTAGAACTTCTGATACTAGTACTCGATACCAGACTAAGCTGGACATCCCGCATTGATTATTTGCATTCTAGACTGTCTATACAATTATTTGTCCTTCTAAGCAGATGTCTCGATCTCCACACTTCGCGGGTAGTCTACTTCAACATGTTCCATAGTCACATTACATATTATGGCACAATGCTCTAGAGAAACTCGGTAGCACCAAACAAAATTTTATAATTACAAATTCCAGTTATCGATCAACGAGCAGAAATCGCTTTAAAAATTTACAAATATTACCACTTCCATTAATTAATATTTTTTTCTGCGTGCAGAAGTTGAGTACTTTCCGCACGCTGACAGAAAAAATCTTATACCTAACACTTGCGGAAAGTGTATTTTCCGCCATTGGCTTGTTAGGTAAATAACTATTGTAGTCCTATGTTATATGCGTAGAAATCTAAGCATATATCAAACCTCTGCAGAAATACAAATCGATGCACTACGTAATGTTAATTACCTAAGGAATCTATACTTACTACTGAATGTGTGTTTGAAAATATATCTAGTCTCTACTTCTCAAAGTCTGTTAGAGACCACTGCTTGATTACTGTTTCTATTCGGTTGATGAGTACGTTGACGCTAGGACGTCACTCGGATAGATAATAAATTTGTAAGAGCTCACAGGTGCATTGTATATTCATAAAGTGGTCAACAAATGGTTTGGTACGGCATGAACCGCTAAATAAAATCTTGTTTTTAAAAATGAATTTTTTAAATTTAAATTCAAGTCAGTTACGTACTTAGAATTAGCCCACAGTAGTCCAATACTGTAGACCAAAGGATTGACCAAATTTTCTGCCTCAAATATCTCTGCGTCATCAAACCTGTTCAGATTCGGCACCAATGCTTTCAGATAGAGACAGATATCCCTAGCCTCCACCAATGCTGCTACAACCTGTTTGAACAGTGTTTGGAAGGTACTGCTGTAAGTGCTGTGGGTCAGCCCCAGGTACTCGCCCATCTTTTTAACTCTTGGGTCACACAGTTGGTCGTAAATGGATTCCAGGTTTTTGTTTCGCGCGTTCCAGAAGTCGATCTCGTTTCTTGGGGTGGGGTTTGCACCCTCAGCAAAGGCTGAAAGTAAGAGAAATCTAATAGTACACAGACGCGGATTCAGGATCACGTCTTGAGGGGGAGCGCAAGTAGTGTGGGTTGCCTACTTATAGGGGATATTTTCAAGCTGTTGGTGCTGATTATAAAGTAGTTAAGGAGGGAAATAGTAAACAGCAGTGTAAGAATAGAATTACATTTATTTTTAGTTTTCAGATGAGAAATAATGTGGTCTCTCCTTCTATCCCCTTTCCTCCTTTTTTCCTACAAAATTCTAGATTGCAAGAGAAGAAAGAAATGGAGTTGAACTTTGTGCAACTACGTGCTGTAATATCTTTAGGTTTCCTCTGAATGGAAAATTAAATTAAACTGCATGGAAATTGTTGTTGATTGCGAGTACTGCCAATGCTGTGCCTGATTATATGATAATCAGTTTCCATATAGATTTCATACACTCCACAGTCCATAGTACATGACCAATGCAATGCAACTAAAGAAGAAAACAAAATGTTAGTCCAAATACATTCAGGCTTTCGCAAAAAATATTACACAGTAACGGCTTTCCATTTGGTTATGGAGAATTGGAGAAGAGCCATAGACTCTGAAGTTATAACAGTCTTTTGGATTTGGAGAGGGAATTTGAAACAACTGTCAGAGATATTTTGTTAGGTAAATTGAAGGCATATGGTATATCAGGAAGTGTCTAAGATTTGAATATTGTTTGTATAATATGATGAAAGTTACAAGAGCCAATTAATAAAACTTTTTCATCAAAAATTGAAAATACGTTAAGTACTCCACAGAGTAGTTATCTTTGGACCACTTCTTTTTATTTCCAACATATAGTTAGATAAGAACTCAAAACATTCAGACTAATATCTCTAATATAAATGAAGACTTGAAGCTTGATTCAAAATGGTTAACATAAAACAAACTCAAATTGAATACAAATAAAACGAAAGCTACTTAATTGAAAATAAAGACAATGTACAAACGTTCAATTAAATATTGATCAAAAAGGTATCGAATTCTTAGAAAGTCTTAATATCTTGGGGTTTTTGTTGACTGAGGATTATTAGTAAAGTGAGATATTTATTCAGAGCTTCTGCATCATTCTTCCAAATTTCTTGTACTGTTCAGATATTCAATATTTAGCTTATAATCCGATTTCTGAAATACTGAAAATTTTACAACACAAGTGCATGAGAGTAATACTGAATAAAGATGATTGTACACCAATGAGACAAATGCTTAGCAAATTAAAATGACTCGATGTGAAAAAATTTATCAAATATCTTGTAATGATATTCATTTATAAAGTGAAAAATAATATATTTCCACGATCTCTAATTTTGTATCATCAAATGCGGACCATCAGTTACATAATACCAGAAATTAAGATGCCTCTAGGTCAAAATTAAAACCAGGCATCTGTGACACATTTATTTCAATAATAACAATTACTATAAGATTGTACTTGTAGAAATTCGAGATCTGGTGTCTTTGTCTTACTTATAAGAGACGACTGCTTGATGACATCATTGATTAGAGATGACCATTTCATGACAGCATTTTCCAACGATCCTTTTAAAAAGTAGTTGATTTTATCTTCATCCTCTTGATAGTCCTGGCAGGCTTGAAATACGTCTTGTATGCCTTGTGGCATTGGCAAGATGGTTTGACTCTTCATAGCTCCCCGAATCTACCAAGATAATTATTTATAAGTCAGGTGCTTTCTATTTTGATAGTATAAAAGATAAAAAAAATTTTAAACCTCAAAATTTTAGGAATTTTCCGAATTTTAAAAATTTTCTAAACAGTGTACCTGTTCCACGGTATTTTTGAAATTCCTGACATGCGACACAACATCTTCGGTAACAACTTTTGGCCATCCTCTTTGATTTTTTGGATTTGATATTATTGGTACGAATACTCCTTCCATAAGAACTGCAAGCTCATCAACAGGCTTACCAGCCATATCGCCGAATGCCAATACCTGAATGAATGTTGATTTTATCAAGACTCAAATCACTAATATATAGCTAGTAGTCCATTTAGTATTTTCCCATCTGATGGAAAAAAAATCTGATTAAGATGTTTGGCATATTATTCAAATAGGACCCTTTTTAACGAATTTGCATGTTGTCAGGCCCAAATTTTCGTCAAAAATTGTTTAACCAAATTCCAATTTTTTTTGCTTCTATCAAAGTATTTCTAGGTCTTTAGGACTTTTTGAACAAAGAAGGTGCTTTTCTAAAAAGAGGTTTACAATAAATTACTTACAAAACTGGCATCACTATGGATTTGAAAAATTTGTATTCAAAATTCTGCAAAACTATGTACTTAATTGACAGAAGTCCATAAATCTAAATTGGGTCTACATTACCAAGCTCAAAAAACATTTCTGATGATGTACCGCAAGGTAGTAAACTAGGTTCAGTACTATTTACTACTACTATTATATTTTATACATCAATGACATTTGTGATGATTTAGATTATTGTAAAATTGAGATATTTGCAAATGATACATTACTAGTAATATACATATCAGATGAAAATACACAGACTGCTTTAAAGAAGCTATCCCTTGACCTGGTAAATTTCATAAATTGGTTGAGGGTAACCTAATTTTGAATGCTTCTAAAACAAAATGCATGCTAATAGGTAAATACTTAAATGAAAATACTATCACAGTTAGGATAAATGGTGGATCATTGAAAAACATGAATCAATTAAATATTTAGGTATGTATGTACATATTGATATAAAACTAAAGTTGATTATATTATTATATACATTATTAAAAAATTTCAAAAAAAAACCAATTACATTCATAGGGCTTCTCATAGTATTAGTGCATATTCAAAAAAATAGTTTATAATACCATTATTCTACAGCATTTACCATATCGTTCAACTATCTTTGTCCACTGCCAATGAAGCTGTTTTCTCAAAATTATAAGTCCTACAAGGTAAAACTATGACAATAATGATTAAAATTAAGTACCCAAAAATAAAGTACATGTTACAAGAATTGCGGTGTTTGAATATAAAAAATTTCATTTCATATTTGGTTCTTATTTTTATATTCATATTAAAAAATTATCTTTTGCTACATCGTTTAGAACATCACATATAATTGAATAATCATTACCACCATTATTAAACAAGAGGAAATATAGATTTTCATTTACAAAATTGTAATAGAAATATGACTTGTTTGACTTTATTATCATTGGAAGACTAAAAATGAGGATAATTAAGCAGGACAGAACAAGCAAATTGAGAAAGAAGTGGGACCTGGAAAAACTAAATAGGGACGACGCCAATCAAAAATATATAGAAAGTATCAATAACCAACCAGTTGGAAGAAAGGAAAGCAAACAAAACTGAGGAAACCCTGAGAGAAACAATCCTGATAGCGGCGGAGGACACAATAGGGAGGAGAGAAACGAAGGTAGAAAAAGAGTGGTTTGACGAAGAATGTGAAGATAAGGTTAAAGAAAAAAAGGAGGGATGGAAAAGGTGGCTATAAGCAAAAGCAGAAGCAAATCTGGAAACTTATAGAGAAAAAAGGAAGCGGAGAAAAATGATTGGGTTGATAGAATAATTCAAGAGATGGTGAGAAATAGTAACAATAACGCCAAACTGTTCTAACTAATACGAAATAACTATAGGGTCCAGAAATTTAACAGTAACCTGTTCACGAGTACGGAGCACGCAACAGAAAAAATGTATGAAACAAAGGAGGTTATAAATAACGTAGTTGAACCACCGACATACGAGGAACACTTAGATATAGTAAAATCCATGAAAAAGAGGAAAACCCCAGGGCTAGATGACATCGTAGCTGAAGGAATCCAAATGGGAGGGGAAAAACTGTGGAAGGAATTATACACAATAATAATTATAATGTAGCAAGAGAAACGAATACCTGAACAGTGGAGCGTGGGATGGATAATACCGTTATTTAAAAAAGGAGATCCTACATTATGTAGTAGCTACAGGGAAATAACTTTACTAAGCGTATATAAAATGCTCACAACTCACATCAGACAGAAGCTGAATTATTACGTGGAAATAGAAATCGGGGAATATCAACAATGGTTTAGAAAGGGAAGGTCGACGATAGTCACAGTTACGCAGATAATAGAAAAATGCTACGAATTTGACACAGATGTAGGTACATATTCTCTTCATAGATTTCAAGCAGGCCTTGGACAGCATCCCACGTAAGAAAATAGCAGTTGAAATGAGAGACTTAAATATGCCGGAAAAGCTAATAAGACTGGTAAATATGACAATGGAAGGATCGCGAGCAAGAATACTATCAAGGAAAGGGTTAAAAGTGCTTGTCAAGAAAGGAGTAAGGCAAGGAGACTCATTACCAACCACACTATTCAACATAGTCGTCGAAGGAGCCTTTAGGTCTACAGGAATCAGAGGAATAATTGCTCTGGCCTCATCCCAACTGGTTGCAAATGCAGATGATATCGCAAGAAACAAAAAAGCTTGAAGCTCTCTTGAAACTAGCCGACGAGGGGAATAAAAGAGACCTAGAAATCAATTGAGAGAAAACAAAATTCTTGATAGTAACGAGAGGAAAGAAGAGCAAAATTAAAGAAACTAAGATCGGGGAGTACCGTTTTGAAAGAGTGTCCCAATTTAAATACTTAAGTGTTTTAGTGACCGACAGGGACGGGAGGGCAGCGGAAATCACAGACCGAATACGCGCCGGTAACAGAACGTACTGGAAATGTTACAGGCCAGTGAGGGACATAAACATAAGTAAAAAAACCAAATTAAGAATAAACAACGTTGCAATCAAGCCAGTTATTACATACGGAGCAGAGACCATGTGCCTTACAACGAAAGATCAAGAGTGATTACGAGTACTAGAGCCCAAGATCATACGCAAGGTAATGGGACCAGTGAAGGATAATAACGAAGGACTTCGACCATTAAAAATAAAAGAGATTATGACGGGAAGATGTAGTAAGACTTATCAAATCCCAAAGATTGAGGTGGGCAGGACATATTGGCAGGAGAGGTAATGATGTACTGATTAAGAAAATTACAAGATGGAATCCTGCGGGTGCTAAATCAAGAACAGGACCTCAAATGAGATAGGATGATCAAGTAAGAATAGAAATAGAAAAATTAGGGATCAGAAACTGGAGATAACTCTCTAAGAACGGAATTCAAACAGAAGAGCCCAAGAACGGCGGCAATCATTCCAGCAGGAATGCGGATGCTATGATGATGATGAATATGACTAGCAAATCAATATCTAAGAACTAATTACTTGAATTTAATAAACCATGTAATGATATAAGGTCTACTTTCGATTAAAAGATGCTTAGAAGAAAATTAAAGAACATTTCACGGGCAGTGAAAATTCTTAGAGATGCAAGCCTTGTCTTTCTGGATATTTGTATGCTATGTGACTGTTGTAATTTTATGAAAGAGTGTACATGTAGCAATCATGCTGAATAAACCTTTGAACAAATCCAAAATAACAATACCTTCTAAAATAAATGATATGAATTTTGTTAATGGAAATTTTAACATCATTTGGAAATTACAGCGTCATGAAAATGGCATTTTTTTAAATAATTTGTCGCTTATATGACGAAAAAAATCGTCTTTAAAGAAAAGTCGCAATATACCTTTATTGTTCAAAATATCATAAAGCTTAAGAACACTTTGACCGGAGCAAAATAACAATTTACAAAGTTTGCTTAAAAGTGTGAATATGACTATGCATTAAAATCCGAATCTGAATATTTTTCCTATCAAAGGCGAGGATACTACCTAGACGACTTTATACCTGAAAGATGACATGAATATTTTCAGAATAACTACTAAAGGAAAGAAAGTAGTGTATGCTGTAGCATTATGATGCGTAACAAAGGTACAGATTCAGAATATAAAAAAAAAACATGATGCTTTCGTCCTACCGACCAAAAAACGGCCAACTATGGACAGCTGTTTCCTGATTCTTTGCTACTCATCCGCATGGGCTAGGCTTGGTCTCTTGTCTCTGGGGCAACGAATGGCAGCATCGCTACTATCCTCTGTCCCGTTCGTTATTCCAGAGGAGATAGCTTCGACCATTCTGATCAGTAGCCGAGAAGCACGAAACAGCCGTCTATGCTTGGCCGACGTTTGATCGAACGGACGAAATCATCGTCTTCAATTTATTCAACGACAAGTAGACCACATCTATATACAGTCAGAGTCGTCAGCCATCTAGCGGTTACATTGTGACTGTGTTAAACGTAAGCTGATATTTTTACAGTTCCAACATACAGCAGTTATACGTTCTCCGCCACCCTGGTGATAGATAGTGCTTTGGGCTGTCTCATTATTTTGTTTTCTCTATAGCTTTACCTGATGCTTTATAATTTTTACCTTTCTGCATACTTACGTCTCTGAAATTCTCCATGGTAACAGCTTCTTCCTTTTTCCTGATAAAATATGTAAATTTCTGTTTGATTTGATTGTTGAACGATGTCATAGGTGTAAGCAATCCGGTTGTCGGGATGGTCATTATGAGCATCTTCTCTGTTGGTTTGTTGAAAAAGTTTAGTATCATTTTCTGCAAAAAAAGCTGCGTATATAGCAGGTGTTACAAATTCGACCCTCACCATTGAGATTTGGAAAACGATGAGATATACGAGATTGGTAGGGGAAAATTGATATGGTGATGTCATTAAGAATCGGTATAATGTTAACTCTTTTACTATACTCAGGAACGGAAAAAGAATAGAGCAGCCAAATACATCGCATACCCATGCAAACGCGGCCTCTTTTTGAACTGACAAAGTATCCCGCCATATTTAAGGGATAAACAAAACCTAAGTAGTTCTTTTTGAGAATTTTCCAAAGCTTTTGACTGTATCAATCATTGAAAAAAATTAATATGGTTGCACTGGCACTTCACTCAATTGGTTAAGAACATATTTAAATAATCGGTCCCAAATTGTAAAATTATCAAGACATTATATTCCAAATATTAAATGAAATTTAAACTCAGGGGTACCTCGAGGATCAGTATATATATATATATATATATATATACATATATATATATATATATATATATCTGTACCACAGAGCCAGACTAGTTTAAGTCCAAATAAGTAGTATTAAGATAATTGTATTTGAAATATTGTCTTGCATTGTATTGTATGCGACTTGACATGAGTTAAAAAGTCGTAACTTCCTTATTATTACAGATAGATGGATGCTGCATGTAGCAAATGAGAATTAACAATATTATCATAAGCTTAACATATTGAACTCATTTTTGACAGAAATGGACTTAACCTAGTCTGGCTCTTAGGTGCAGATATATCTATATCTGTATATCTATATCAGTGATTTAATAAGCTCGAATGGAAAATTCGCCGTATATGCTGTCAAAACTACAATACTTAGGCAAGGCACAGGTATAAATGAAATCAAGACAAAAAATTGATATTGATATACAATCAATCAAAAAATGGTGTGACATCAATTATTTGACTTTCAGGGTTGATATTAAGACAAAATTTATGATATTTAGATACTTCTAAATTTTTGGAGCTTATAAATTATATTTTACTTATCATGTAGACCCAGTCAGCAAAGACTTTCATTAATATCAAAACAATTAGTTACAACGTATGGAAAAGCACAGCCTCAAGCAGTTAGTTTTCCTCATTTCCAAGTAGGTTAAGATATACTATTCCCTATTTGTGTGTCTGTCTCCAATTATTTAAAAAAGTGTTTATTCCACAAAAACGAACAATAGTGTATATATTATTTGTAAATCTTAAAACCATGACTGTCGTATCATTGTTCACTCTGAAAAATTTTATTTTTTTAGACAAATCTAAATTTGAAACATTAGAAATAAGTTACAATATTAGACGAAACAAGATCTTAAATTACAAGTAGCAAGATCCAAGATCTAAAACAATACTTGTGAAAGATTCAATAATTTATATTGGTCTAAAAATTTACATTTGTCTGATGCTATGAAAAGAATTAACAATTTAAAGATATTCCACGGTGAACTTGAAAACCTTTCAATATGTCAACCATAATTTGTATATGTGCGACTTTTACATTTCACCTTCTTGAATATATTTAGTGTAATTAGTTTGCTATTATCTTGTTTTTGCAACAAACTAATCTCAGAATGAAAGAACCACTCGCTAAGGTTAGTTTAATGAAAAAGAGGCAAAATAAAGTTTACATGACACTTTTGTCTTCAATTATGTTATTGCTTAGTTAGTCAAGGACTATAGTATTCTTCAGACAATAAAGCATATTATTTGTACATATCTCTTGAAAAACCCGCCGCGTTAGCATGGTTCTTTATTTTCGGTTGCTAGCCGCTAGTCCAGGTCACGAACACTATAGAGGAATGCAACAACGACCTATAGTATAGAATTTACAGCTTATGCAGTAGAAGCTATAAATGGCGTCTGCTAGTTCCAGCTCTGAAACAGATATTACCTGTCAACCTGTCAGTCACCCACCACTATTCAAACAAACCTATACCCCAAGTGCCACGACGTGCAGGCAACATGCACAGCTACTACCAGTGAAAATGAAGTAAATGACAGCTAGTTCCTAGGTGACAGTTTTTTGGAAAACCTACATAATGTCATTAAAAATCGATATAATCTCACGAGAAAACATAATAGACATGAAGAGATAGAACATTGCAATAGTTGTGGTAAACAAAAATATTAAGTCTTATTTAAAAGTTAAAAATTATTAAGTCGCATGTGCCCAAGAGTAATGACAGTAAAAATCGTTCGACTTGTAATTATTGTAAAATAACAAAGATTACATCCAATTAATGAAGCTCTCATACGTTTTGTAGCTTTCCAAAGTTTTTATTTTAGCTACCACGTTATCAGGAATATAGTAATAAAATATCTGTTTAACATTTTCTATCACTTTTTGCACAACTCGGCAACACCGCATTCAAACATGCTGTCCAGCAACCAGTCAGAACCAGCTCGCATAGTTTTCGAGAGAAAAAGTGAGTTGCATCAAGCGACTTATCAATTCTTTCAGTGTATTTAGCGAAAATAAACAAGTATGATATTACTTATTGCAATTTTGTTTAATACAGGCAATAGTGCGAATCGTCCATAAAAGGTGTTCAATATGACCACCATTTTCGTTCCAGCACATGATACGGTGCAAAAAATTTTAACACTTGATCTAATAAGAATTTTACCTCGAAAACTATGCGAGATGGCTTGTTCTTATAACACATAACATAACAAAAATGAAGTAAGCAAAGGATCTTTGTTCAGACTCGTTAGTAGATTTACTAAAAAAAGTTTGCTATAATTTATGTAGAGCTGGGGGTATTTTTCTCCCTCCTAGAACCCTTGTTTGTAAAAGTCAAATACTAGGATATCTAGCATGTGTTACAAATCTCGTTCAAATCAAACTGTAGGTTCCAAAAATATCTGAAAAAAAATTGTTTGTATATAGTTACACTTTACTCTAAAATCACTGTCGCTTCCTGGCAGATCCAACACTAACTTACAGCGTTTATACTATTGTTTCAAAGAAATAGCATCTTTTCTAAATTCGCCAATGATTTTAAACGGATTCCACCGAAAATCTCAAAAATTCCTCAAATGGGGTTCCTAGGTGCTCGTGTCTTTACGTCTGACCGCAACACACTAATTTCACTAAATATCTACCCTGTATTCATCGACGCCGATCATCTTGTTCCACTTCTCCTGCTTCATCCTATAGGACTTGGTGAGATACGTGAGCAGAAACTCCAGCCTGTCGTCCTCAGCATCATCCTCGGCCACATCTTTCTTTTTGTCTCCCATTTCTCAATGTAAAACCGAAAGCTGTCTATAGGACAGCCGTTGTCAATGGAACTGAATTCTATGGGCTTCGATGGTGGTGGGATTATAACAGCCCTTAGCAACACCCAACCTGTCGGAATTTGATCGATAGATACTTTAATTTAATTGTTGTTGGAGGGTTTACGAGGTGTTTCAGAAACGTAATGCAAAAATTTAAGTGGCAATTCTTTAGATAAGGGACTGACAACTACTTTAGCGGATATCGCAAATATTTCATTTATTATTATAAAATGAAAGACTTGGATGTAACTTATCCAAAAATCATTTTTTTAAGGAAGCCTCTGATCGCTATTTTATAGAACTTCGAAGTTGCATTATAGGTGGCAATACTGTTGTGTAGAATACTGCTCTATAAACTGTTCTTTTTTCATTTTTATACAAAAAAATACTGTTAATTATATAAATATAACATACACTGTACGTAATGTACTGTGACAATATTCATCAAAATAATGCAATTTTGCAATTAGAGCTAAATATCAGTTGTAAATGCTTTTAATAAAAAAGCAAAAATCGCCTTTTTCAATGCGATTTCCTAAAGATGATTTACTGAAAGGATTGAGGAGTTATTGTCGAGCAGTTCCACGTGGTGCTTCCTGGCTATATGCTGGCTGAACGGTCGTTAAACAACCATAATTTGAGTATTATTATTATTATTATTATTGCATGCAATGGCCGCTGGTGCCGTTTGTATTTTATGTCGCGCGAACCGCTAGTGCATTTTCCACTGTTTAGGCAAAAAGTACAATTTGGCAAAAATTCACAGCATTTGTCTTATGTATCAAAAAATGAATGTTACATAATGGCGCTTGAGAATTGCTTTTATTTTCAACCATAAACGCAAAAGCTTTAATGCCACTGGAAATTCGCGTAAAACATGGTTAATTAATTTCAAGAAGACCTTGAAAAAGTACAGCACAACACCACTACACAGTGTACTAAGTAAAAACCATCATTGACGGTAATGTATGTATTTTGAATCGTTATTTCATTTAAAAAGAAAACTTTACAAACGAAGCAGATAAATCATATCCAATCGTCATATTCATTCATTTACCACAGTACAAAATTGAAACATGGTCACCTCTAAAACACGTGTGTCAAATAACAGGGATTCATGAGAGAAACACAATAAGCAAAGTGACTAATTCTAAATCGAATATGGCGGCCGTCGCTAAATGACGATTCACATTTTTCATAGTCACCCCTACGGGTATGGGTAGTATCAAATGAGAGGCTTTATAAGAGTAACATAATTGTCATAGTGACGTCATTCTAAACGTAATATGGCGACCGTTGTTTTCTATGTTCACCGGGCGTGCGCCGGCTTTTATAAGTGTCCTGGTATGATAAGCGTTGTGCCGCTAATGCTTGGTCTGATTAGGTATACGAGAGAGGCGACGCGACGTTGTCAGATGGACGTAGGTACATGGTACATTTAATTCATCTATCATACAAGTTCGTAACATTTTTTTTTGACAGATGGTCTAACTAAGATACTGCTTCTGTCCATCCGACCAAAGACTGCCAACCAAGCCCAACTGTTTCGTGCATTTTTGGCGACTCATCAACATCGTCTAGGCCTGGTTTCTGGGAAAATGAATAAAAGCGGTTTAACTATCCTCTATCCAGGGTATTAGATCTTATCTAAATAGGACCTAACTTCTGCTACACATAGTCCTTTATGAATTGATGATGGCATTGAGTGGGAAGCGCAGAGTCAACCTACTTTACGCGACTTTCAGGCTAGGGCCATTTTAAGGTGCATTTAACTTTTAGCGCACACCATAGAACGGTGATGGTCGCTAAATATTCCGCTTTTCCATTTCCCTAAACGAAGAAATTTCAATTTTTATTCGAGAATAATATTGGAACCGAATCACTAATGGAGTCTAGTGTGCTAACTGGGGACTTCCCAGATAGTCTAATCATATTAGCGAATTTCCCCGAAATAATTGTAAAGTCTGGTTTTATTGGTGCAACTTGTTCAAGTGGGTATTTCAAACATGGACGCATAAAATGGGGACACCAATTTTTGTGGAAAAGTTTTTATTTGACAACAAAGAATGAGAAAAGGTGTCATTTTTGGGATTCAATCGAAAATATTGACAGGAACGAAGAAAATTTCAAATAAGATTTTCAGGTAGTTATGAGACCCACAAAACGACACCACACGTAAAAAGATCCGGCTAATAGCGAAAATGTTATGGCCGAAAAACGAGGCAAAACGCAAACTACTTGAAATTCTTCAAATCCGTAGGATTCATACTTCTTAATAACAACACTAAAATTTTAGTATATTGGTCAAGTAGTTTTTTGATAATTTCAAATTGTTTATCCCAAAATACCTATTTTCCGGCCATCACTTCTAGTTTATTGAGCGATATACAGGGTTTGTTCAAAGAGCATTTAATAGCAAAATACACGTGTTAGGTAGAAAACAGACAGAGCGACTTTCGTCGACTCGACCGTCGGGTCGACGGTCGAAAAAATTGTTCAAACGGGGCGACCACTTTCGTCGAGGAGGCAGTCGCGTGTCGTATCCGCGGTCCCTGGCAACGAGAGCAGGTTTGCTAGTAGTGTTCAATCAAAAAAGCAATGGACCTAGACCTAGATGATGAATATGTAATGCTACTGTACTTGTTTTACCGGAGACGAATGAAGAAAAAAAAAGGGAGGCGTCTCTGGATTCATCCAATTATTTCACAGCGCAAAGAAAAAGGCTTTTTTACTATATTGTGGCTACAGCTAAAACAGGATGAAGAAAAATTTTTCAATTTCACAAGAATGTCCCAGTTTTCTTTTTATGAACTTCTCACTGCTATAGAACAAGAATTAAGAAAAGAAAATACTGTTATGAGGTCTGGGTCTATTTCGTGTGCCATCCCTAAAATCTAAATGAATACAAAATTAAAAAAAAAGATATTGTTTCAAAATAAATATCTTTTAATTTGAGAAGATAGCGGAATTTACAAAATCCGTGATCCAACATATTCCATCGCGTGATTCAGTACTTACGCGTGTGAATTTCGAAATAAAATGCGTCTGAATTGATACACTTCAGAACATGGCATGATGTGTCGATGCCGCGTCGAGTGCCGCTGCAAAGTCGCGGGGAAATCATATGTCGACTCGACTTCAAGCGGCGGGGCGCCGCGTCGAGTATCTGTGTGTTTCATTATATATATAAAGTTATTTACACCATGCGTCGACTCGACCGCCGACTCGACGGTCGAGTCGACAAAAGTCGATCCGTCTGTTTTCTACCTTAACCTTGCCGATATGAATCACAAACCATCCGAAAGATAAATGTTTTTCTTGTGCGAAAAACAAAGTTTGCGTTTTTTTCTTCTAAACAAATCCAAACACTTCATATTTGTATACGATATTCGAGAAACATACGTCACTATACACATTTTAAGATAAAGCGCATGTGTCTATCATATTTTGTTGCGAATTACTCACAAATACGAAATGTTAGAAGTTGTTTAAAAGAAAAAAAGCTACCCATTCTTTTTTGCATAAAAATAACATTTATCTTCCGGAATGGTCTGCAATTCATATTGGCAAGGTAAACTAGTGTATTTTGCTATAAAATTCGTTTGAACTATCCCTGTAGATTGCTCAATAAACTGGTAGTGATGGCCGGAAAACAGATGTTTTGGGATAGACAATTAGAAGTTCTCAAAAACTACTTGACCAATCTACTCCAATTTTGTTGTGGTTATTTAGAAGTACGGATTCTACGAATTTGAAGAATTACAAGTATCTGTGAGAAACCGTCGACGCATTACCAACAAGTGCCAAAATCTGCAGCTTGCCTTGGTTTTTGGCCATAACTTTTTTGCTCTCAGTCGGTTTTTTTACGTGTGGACTTATTTTCTAACATTAAATACCTAAAAATCTTATATGATGAGTTTTTTCGTTCCTACCAACACTTTCGATGGAATCTAAAAAAACACATTTTCTCGTTGTTTGTTGTCGAATAAAAAGTTTGCCCACAAACATTGGTGTACCCATTTTATGCGTCTATCTTTTGAATACCTCTTGTACAACTTGCAGCAATAAAACCAGACGTTACAGCTATTTCGCAAACCAGGGATATTTTCGGCTAATATTATTATACTAATACATACATTGTTATCTATATTTGAATGTACACTAGTGCAAATTTCTTTACACTGAAATTGATCAAATACGGCTTAGCAGCGATTTAAATGTACAATAATTCTACGTGTTGTTAATGTATGCAACTACAAAAGTCATGCCTGATTTCAGAATTTTATTCTGCTTACCCGAAGTGACACAAAAGTAGTAAAACGACAGAAAATGAATTTTCCAACTGTTAGATGTTGACCCAAGAACTTTTGTATAACTCTCAAAAATGATCACTATCTCTGTAGATATCGAAAAATTAAGTTTGTCGACGTTTTTGTTTTTCACCTATTCTTCCGCCACTATTGATGTAAGAATTTAAGAAGATTTAATCATTGTCATGATGGAAGCATTATGTCAAAGTCTTAATAAATCCCGAGTAGTAACCTCCGAGTGGACCTCGTAGTTTTTTTTGGAGAGATTATTTGAAAGACTCTTGTTCTGACTCAAAACATCTGTCTACAGTCAGGACCAGTTTGGTCCATTATATAATAACTAAGCGATTAAATATTTCAAAAACGGATAGGTGGATTTTATTCAATTTGATAATACAAATTTGCTTTTGATTGAGCAGTGAAATAAGTAGGAGAAGGAAATATGGAGTTCCCTATGTGCGCCTATGTAAATGTTATAGGGATTATCTCAGGACCTCAGGGCCGTATCGTCAGTCGTTCCTACAACTGTAGGAACCCTTTATGGCCTCCTTGACATTCATAGTTTTTGCAGCCCTTCAGGAAGACGCTTTACTTTGAGGTTATGTTACAAAAAATATCTATTTGCATCAAATTGTTCATTCTTTTAATTTTTATCATCTGCTTTATTATCTGAAATTTCCTACAACTCAAAAAGCTGACACGGAACAGAAGAAATTTGGAAATACCCCAGCCCTAAGGATAGAAAACTTAGAATCAAAGAGGCCATAAATTAAACCTACAATCTTAGGAACGACTGACGATATGGCCCTTAACCGGAGATTTCATTTTTATCAATTTTCGATCGGTTCTTTCCAAGTTATAGAGGGTCCATTCAAAAAACACAGTACCTCATTTTCGATTTTAATCGCGATTACTATACTTCTCGACGTTAGAAGTAAAAAGGTCGGTATTGGATAATTTTGAGAACTATTTCAGATGCTCTATTATGTGGCCTACATGTCGCTGGCGGTAGATATCGAAATGGATCTTTCTATGATTAATCTTTTCAGCTGAAAATAACTGAGAACAACAAAATGCCTCAAATATTTATTGAATTACTATTTTAACAAATTGGTATACATGTGTGGATGCTACTTCCCAGCTGAGCTAGAAACTCCTCCTGCCTCATCCTCTGCACCACTGTCTACACTACCAGCTTCCTCCTCCGCATCTCCTGCCGTTCCTTCAGCGTCACTTGTAGCGTCGTCCTGGGCTTTCACCAAATTTTGGCTCTAAAAGCAAGATCATGATTACCATACATACAAAAAAAAGAAACGAGCCAATATTTCTAGGGTAGGAAGTACACCCATAAATGAGAAGAAAGTTGCTATAACATATTTCCAAGTATTTTGGCGTGTATTTTGAATGTTACCTTATTTTTAACCATAAGTGAACTTATAAGCAAGGCGTATCGCACACATGGCTTTATTATCAGAAATTGTAGGAGAATGAAAACCTCAACACTCCCTAAGTTATGTTTAGTGCTTGTTTTAAGTAAATGAGGATACGGTACATTACTTAGCCTTATTTATGATCGTTACAGAAATATTACTGAAAATGTTCAAAACAAATTCCTGAAATATTTATTCTGTGTGATAGTTTCTATCCTCCTAAAGGATACGACTATTTCTTAGTGCGAAATAAATTTAGTGTACCGTTCTCAGAAATGCGCAGGGAGCAGGCGTCAGTCATCATCAAAAGCATCCAGAGTTGCTTTCACCAGACCAAAGAAACTAGAGGTTCTAGAAACCTCTATGCTTTCTGAGAGAACAGTTACAACTGTCGGGGAAATTAAGTACCTGGGGGGTAATACTGGGCTCCAAGCTGATCTGAAGCCCGCGGATCAAACACATGAAAATAAGAGCGGCGTCGACTTTGATGTTTTCCAGATGCTTTAATGGTGAATCATAAGGATTAAGCCTTTTCGTGATGTACTGGACATACATAATGGTGATAACTTATGCAACTCTGGTCTGGTTGGCAAAGATGGGACAACGCTCTGTCATTGTTGATAACAGACGCAGCACTTGAGTCCATGCTGGACCTCCGACGGATATAATTTGTAATAATGGGGGAGGCGAGAATGAATGGGCTACTCTAGGCTACAGTTACAGCCAAAGGGAAGTGAGAGAGGTGAGATCCTTGGATTCAACGAAATAAGGAAACATGTGGGAAGCGGTATTCTTCAGACAATTTCCAGTTTTATATTAAAAAAGAACGTCGAAACCACAATGGAAGATCAAACGGAATACGAACATCAACGACACAACCTGCAAGAGGAAATTACCTGGTACGCAGACGGGCTTAAAACTGAGCAGGGAACAGATGCAGGTATATTTGGGTACAGGTCTAATCCTGCACATAGTGTACCACTTGGAAGACACAGCCCTGCATTTCAGGCAGACGTAAATGCCATATTGCATTGCGCAAGAGTAAATAATGAGCGACCGTACAACAAGGACAGAATCGCGATTTACGTTGACAGTCAGGCGTCACTCGAAGCGTTGAAGGGTCCTAGGACACAAGTAATGGGTGATTTTTTTGCTAGTATCTTTTTGGCAACACTGTTCTTGACAGATGACGCGTGAATCGTGTCTTGTGTCATTGTCAAACATGCAGTTTGGTCTATAATTTAACCATGAATCGACTTACGAACGAACAACGCTTGCAAATTATTGAATTTTACTATCAAAATTCATGCTCGGTTAAGAGAGTGCATCGAGCACTGCTTCCAATTTATGGGCAATTTGGTCGGCCTACTGAGGGAGCTATTCGGAAGCTTGTGACTAAATTTCGAACCCAGTTCACATTATTGGACATTAAACCACCAACACGCAGACGTAGAGTGAGGACTGAAGAAAATATTGCGGCTGTATCCGCCAGTGTTAGTGATGACCGTGAAATGTCGAATCGCCGCCGTTCGCAGCAATTGGGCCTCTGTTACTCCACTACGTGGAAAATTTTGCGACAGAAGTTGGGTGTAAAATCTTACAAGATACAGCTGGTGCAAGAATTGAAGCCACACGACCTCCCACAACGTTTCCAATTTGGTGAATGGGCGCTGGCAAAGTTGGAGGAAGATCCACATTTTTATCGAAAAATTGTGTTCAGCGACGAAGCTCATTTCTGGTTGAATGGGTACGTTAACAAGCAAAATTGCCGCATCTGGAGTGAAGACCAGCCAGAAACATTGCAAGAGCTACCAATCCCGAAATAATCACTGTTTGGTGTGGATTATGGGCCGGTGGCATCATCGTTTTTTTTGCCCAAAATGGAAGAGCTGGACTTGGCTGACATGTGGTTTCAACAAGACGCTGCCACATGCCACACCGCACACGAAACAATGGCGCTATTGAGAGGCGAGTTCGGTGAACAGTTTATCTCACGTTTGGGGCTCGTCAATTGGCCGCCTAGATCGTGTGATTTAACGCCGTTGGACTATTTCTTGTGGGGCCATGTTATGGCTAATATCTACAGCGATAAACCAGCAACGATTGACGCATTGGAAGCCGATATTGCAGCATTTATTCGTGAGATACCGGCCGATATGTTGGAGAGAGTGTTCCAAAATTGGACCTTGCGCATGGGCCATCTAAAGCGGAGCCGCGGCCAACATTTACATAAAATAATCTTTAAACATTAAATTATATAGACCGTTCTATTGACACAAATAAAGATTTGATCGTTTTTTCAAATTTTTTGTGTTTTTTTTTTAAAAATCAAATCCTATACCTCTTAAAAAATCACCCGTTATAAGGAACACAGGCACTAGTGACTGAATGTAAGCATGGGAAAGAATTTATTTCGGGACCATGCCCTCATACGGCTGCGGAACTGCTTTCAATGAATAGAAACCAACGACGTGTAGTTACAGACATTCTAAGAGGAGATAATTGCCTGAAAGGACACCTAGACACCTACTGTAATGCGGAGACCTCAACAGTAGAGAATATAAAAAAGAGCAGAATTAGCCTTATATATATCTCCTGTGAGTGCGAACCGATTCGCTGGATCACAGCACACATCAACTGTTCGGGAAACCAAAACTAGAACCAAGTGAGATTAAAACAGTACCGGCAGGGAGACTATACCAACTGGTACTGCTGGATTGGGTAAAAAATTCTACCGTGGACCATTATTATATTTTCTGTAAGCTATATATATATCATTACGTTTTTCCTTTAAGTCGCTCTTATCAGATTAAGAATAACGAAACTCGACCAACGAGAAAGAGTTTTTGAGTTAATGGATCTAATCAATATAGTCGATTTCTTGTAAAATATGTTTGACAATAGACAAAAATCTTACGATTTGCGTAAAACGGGCCCCTAATACTCATATTAAATCTAGGAATATTTCGTAAAATGCTAAAACCTACTTTTTAATTCGCGCCTAGACTAGGTGCACAAAATCCACTAATCAAAAACAAGGATTTGCACCATAAGTACTTGGAGCAGTGTTACTACTAACCTGAGAGAGATAATTTTGGTAAAAAGGATTTTTTTAACAACTCATCCACATGTCCATTGAGTTGGAGTATAATGTAATTTGTAGCTATACACCACTGTTTCTCGCGGTATACCTACTAATATTACCTCAAATGTAAATATATTACCTACAGCTAGCTCACTTATTGAAAGTCATATCTAATATGCTATAACAGCGTGGGGTACAGCACAAAACTTACACATTTCACCATCACATCAATTACAAAAAATGAATCTCAAGAAGATATAAAATATACCCATAACGTATCCAGAGGGATTTATTTATAAGCACACTAATCAGTCTGCCGCGGCTGCCTAGTCTCGTCGTCATAGCATGGTACGCTTCGAGTTAGGATGACGCACGTCCATTTTCAATTCTTTTTCAATTTTCTAAGGTATTCATGTTTGTGTTTGATATGGTTATATTAATTACAAGGCAGATATTAAACTTGGTTCCGATTGGTGGAGTACAGCCACAGCCGCAAACTTCGTGTAGGTCGAATGAAAAAATAGGTTTTTGGAACTAAACAAGTGTTTCCTGCATTAAGATGGAAAATCGTGGTCCATACTACAGAAATCGATATCTTTCCTCCAATTTGAGAAACAAGAAATCCACCAAACACATTAGATCCATCGCTTCAAATATGCAAAACACCTTGTGATTGGTCGAATTTGTGCCATACCATCGGCACAAATTTTGATTCCCCTGAGTCAATTCAATGGTAAAATCGGCCCTAAAAGTCAATCGAAAAATTGGATGAGACCCATCTCATTCCTTGGTTAAGCTTGTTTGTTATTTTAGAGGAGGAGTAGCTGTAGAATAACAGCACCACGTGAGCCTTTCAGTAACTTGGAAGAATATCTATATATGTACTTAAGGCTTACCAGAATCAGACCAATAACGCACAGAAGAAGCAGACTGTATGTGAATTTCATTTTACTAACGGTCTTTAGGAAACTATGATAGCTCAGCAACTTTCAATAATGTCAACTATTTATAGGAATGTATAAAGTAAATTCTGATAATTGAAATATACTTCCTCGTCATGGATTGCTTCATCGAGTAATTGCTCGTACAGGATTTCAAACAATATTAACATGGAAATTTGAAAATTATAGACATGCGATGGCATTATCACATATCACACATAATTTGTTGCAATTATGATTGCATAATTTTTGCAGGCTCTTGCAACACATGTGTAGCAATGCTAAAGGTCGAAGTAATATCAACTGTTTTTTAGAAGGTATTGTCAAGGACAAACGGATTCGATACAGCGGCTGTCAGTCGCTTTTGATTTTGATGTCACCAAGTATTTGATCATTGAAGACACAAGTGTATAAAGGTGTCATGGAACATTTTTTTTATAAATTTTAAGGAGTGATTCTTTCAGTCTGTAGTAGTAGTAGTAGTGGTAGTAGTAGAAATATTTATTTAGCACAGTTGGCTAGATAAACAGAATAATTGTAAACAACTTAGAATTAGTAAATTCAAGCCATATGATGTATGATGTAAATGCTGGGCAATCTATAATTGTAGATTTAACAAGTGATTTCTCAACTTTACTTTAAATTTTGTCAGTTATCTGGTCTTTTATCTCTGTGTATAATTTATTATATTCAATCAACCCTTGATGGAATACAGATTTGTAGCATATATTATACTTTTTGGTCATTAAATGGAAGTCATCTATATTCCTGGTATTATGTAAATGATGGTCGACATTTGATGATGTTAAATTAGTCAGAGTTGATGGAAATATATATATAATTTTTTACTTTATAAATGAATATCAACACAAGATATTTGATAAAAATTTTTACATTGAGACATTTTAATTTGCTAAGCTAATCGGAGTATATGTATACTAAGTGACATATAAATCCGAACACCCAGTTTAAATGGTTTTATTTTAATAAAAGTTGGTGAATGTATTTAACTTACTGTAAATAACAAGTGAAAAAATGTTCAGCCTTATCAGTTGGACATTCCGGTTTTTATACTGCTTTTTTTTTAATTCAGTAACGCTCTAAAAATGAATATTTCAGCCGCAGTAAAGAATCAACGTTGGCGGATTTTGGTTCTTGACATCCTTTACGATCGGTTACGATGCCTAAAGTACGGAGACCTGTACGATTTCGTCAACTTAGTGAGTTTGATAGGGGCCGTATAGTGGGACTTGGGGAAGCTGGACTTTCTTTTCGGGCAATTGCAGTTAGAGTGCAAAGAAGTGTAGACACTGTGGTTAGGTGTTGTCAGGCATGGCTTCGAGAAGGCCGTACGCAAAGAGCAAGGGGCACTGGACGCCGCCGTAGAACAACAGACCGTGAAGATCGCCGCCTAAGATTATTGGCCTTAAGGAACCGTTTCTCCACTACCAGGTCCATTGCAAATGAATGGTTTGCAGAACACGGAAGACCTATTGGCATGCGAAGTGTTTACCGACGAATGAGAAGTTTTGGCTTGTTTTCATACCGGCCACACTGGGTCCTCCCTTTAACTCGAGAACACCGACGTAATCGCCTTGAGTGGTGCAGACAACGGTCACTCTGGGATCAGGAATGGAACAGTATTGTCTTTAGTGACGAGTCACGATTTTGTTTAGGCATGCACGAAGGTCGTGCCAGGATTAGAAGGCGAGGTGGTGAAAGCAGGAATCTACAGTTTTTTGTTGAAAGACATGTTCATCACACTGTTGGAGTTATGGTTTGGGGTGCTATAGCTTATGGTTCCAGGTCACCTTTAATCTTCATCAGAGGTAACATGAACGCGCAGCGTTATATCCACGAAGTTCTAGAACCCCATCTTTTACCCTATCTTGACACCCTGGCAGATCCAACTTTCCAACAAGATAATGCCCGACCACATGTTGCAAGAGTCACAATAGACTTCTTTCAACATAATGATGTCACATTGTTACCACGGCCACCAAGATCTCCCGACTTATCTCCAATTGAGCACGTGTGGGATATGATGGGTAGGAGATTGCTCAATTTGCAACGTCTTCCTCAGACTCTAGAAGCACTTCGGGAGGAGTTGGTGGTTGCCTGGAATAAGATACCACAGAAGGACATTTACCACCTGATCAGAAGCATGCCTACGCGCGTTGGAGAATGCGTAGCACATCAGGATGCATCCACACATTGTTAATGGTCAAAGGGCTTAAAAGCAGTGCAATCATTTTGAAATTTTTATCATTTACTTATTATGCTTCATCAAGTACTTATACAAAATTTTATTAAAATAAAACCATTAAAACTGGGTGTTCGGATTTATATGTCACTTAGTATATCTTTATTCAGTATTATTATTATGCACTTATTTTGTAAAATTTGCAGTCTTTCAAAAATGGACTTATTTGCTAAATATAGAATAGTCGAACAGTACAAGAAATTTGGAGGAATGATGGTATTATAGATAATTTTTCTGCTATATGTACTCAGACATCCTGAAACTCTCGATAAATATCCCACTTTACTACTAATCCTATTTATAACTTTTTCATAATGAATATCAAAAATTAATCGAGAGTCAACAAAAACCCCCAGGTATTTAAAATTTTCTACGAACTCAATATCTTCACCATCAATATTCCGTTGAACATTTGTACATTGTTTTTTCCGATTAACATAGCTTTCGTTTCACTTGTATTTAATTTTAGTCTGTTAGATGCTAACCATTTTGAAATAAGTTTCAAGTCTTCATTTATATAAGAGATACCAGTCCGGATATTTTTAGTACTTATATGAATCATAGTGTCATCGGCAAAAATCTGAATTTTGCATTGTTTGACTATGGCAGGTAAATCATTTATGTATAAAACAAAAAGCTGTGGTTCCAGGATACTGCCCTGTGGAACTCCCAACGTATTTTAAATTTTTATGAAATAGTGTCATTAACTTTTGTAACTTGCATCCTTTTAGACAAATAATTTCTAAACCAATCTAAAACCCTCCCTGATATCCCATATGCCTTCAATTTACCTAACAAAATATCTCTCAATCGTTTCAAATATCCTCTACAAATCCAAAAATACTGCTATGACAACTTCTTCTGAGTCTATGGCTCTTCTCCAATTCTCAGTTACCAACTGGAAAGCCGTTTCTGTGGAATATTTTTTTCGAAAGCCTGCTTGCGCCTCCACTAAAATTTTGTTTTTATTATAAAAATTTACCTCGGTACCCACCCGCAGTCATCCTTTCCTCTTTTACAGTAGCGCCGAGGAGCGTCTAAGGCCAGCCTACCCTCGTTTCCTTTTCACCCCCCCATTACCTCAGCAGATGGTGCTCGTGATTGTAGGAGCCCCATTAATAGCTGTTGGCTTCAACAAGACGGTGCTCCTGCACATACCTCTAGGCAAGTTCAAAAGTATCTTTATCGTGGATTGGAACTGCCGGAGACGTTTTGAGGCCAGCACTCTTCCCTTATTTAACTGCTCTAGAATTTTTTGTTGTTGTTTCAACCAGGTTTATCAGCATACTTTTGAAACTGAGCAGCAGTTACGAGAATATGTTATGGAAGCATTTAACACATTTAGAAGATCAGATTTATACTTAGAGAATAATGGCAACCTATACTAAGTGACATATAAATCCGAACAGCCAGTTTAAATGGTTTTACTTTAATAAAATTTTGTATAAGTACTTAATGAAGCATAATAAGTAAATGATAAAAATTTCAAAATAATTGCACTGCTTTAAAGCCCTTTGACCTTTAATAATGTGTGGATGCACCCTGATGTGCTACGCATTCTCCAACGCGCCTAGGCATGCTTCTGATCAGGTGGTCAATGTCCTCCTGTGGTATATCATTCTAGGCAACCACCAACTCCTCTCCAAGTGCTTCTAGAGTCTGAGGAGGACGTTGCAAATTAAGCAATCTCCTACCCATCATATCCCACACGTGCTTAATTGGGGATAAGTCGGGAGATCTTGGTGGCCATGGTAACAATGTGAAATCATTATGTTGAAAGAAGTCTATTGTGACTCTTGCAACATGTGGTCGGGCAATATCTTGTTGGAAAATTGGATCTGCCAGGGTGTCAAGATAGGGTAAAAGATGGGGTTCTAGAACTTCGTGGATATAACGCTGCGCGTTCATGTTACCTCTGATGAAGATTAAAGGTGACCTGGAACCATAAGTTATAGCATCCCAAACCATAACTCCAACAGTGTGATGAACATGTCTTTCAACAAAAAACTGTGGATTCCTCCTTTCGCCACGTCGCCTTCTAACCCTGGCACGACCATCGTGCATGCCTAAACAAAATCGAGACTCGTCACTAAAGACAATACTGTTCGATTCCTGATCCCAGAGTGACCGTTGTCTGCACCACTCAAGGCGATTACGTCGGTGTTCTCGAGTTAAAGGGAGGACCCAGTGTGGCCGGTATGAAAACAAGCCAAAACTTCTCATTCGTCGGTAAACACTTCGCATACCAATAGGTCTTCCGTGTTCTGCAAACCATTCATTTGCAATGGACCTGGTACTGGAGAAACGGTCCCTTAAGGCCAATAATCTTAGGCGGCGATCTTCACGGTCTGTTGTTCTACGGCGGCGTCCAGTGCCCCTTGCTCTTTGCGTACGGCCTTCTCGAAGCCATGTCTGACAACACCTAACCACAGTGTCTACACTTCTTTGCACTCTAACTGAAATTGCCCGAAAAGAAGGTCCAGCTTCCCGAAGTCCCACTATACGGCCCCTATCAAACTCACTAAGTTGACGAAATCGTACAGGTCTCCGTACTCTAGACATCGTAACCAATCGTAAAGGATGTCAAGAACCAAAATCCGCAAACGTTGATTCTTTACTGCGGCTGAAATATTCATTTTTAGAGCGTTAGTGAATTAAAAAAAAGCAGTATAAAAACCGGAATGTCCAACTGATAAGGCTGAAAATTTTTTCACTTGTTATTTACGTTAAGATAAATACATTCACCATCTTTTATTAAAATAAAACCATTTAAACTGGGTGTTCGGATTTATATGTCAC